TTCGGTGGTGGGAAAGTTGTTGGAGGTGATTCTGAAAGATAGGATTTATATGCACGTGGAGAGGTAAGGATTGATTAGGGATAGTGAGAATGGTTTTGTGCAAGGGAAATCGTGTCTCACAAACTTGATTGAGCTTTTTGAGGAAGAAACCAAGAAGACTGATGAGGGCAGAGAAGTAGACATTGTTTACTTGGACTTTAGTAAAGACTTTGACAAGATTGCCTATGGTAGACTAATTAGTAAAGTAAGATCACATGGGAGTCAGGGAGAGCTTGCCAATTGGATACAAAATTGACTTCACAGAAAGAGAGGGTGGTGGTGAATGATTGTTTTTCAGACCAGAGGCCTGTTACCAGTGGTATTCCACAAGGATTGGTGCTAGGTCCACTTTTATTTGTCATTTATATAAATTATTTAGATGAGAATATAGAAGATAACGTTGCATATGACACCAAAATTGGTGGTATAGTGGACAGTGAAGACAGATATATAAGATTACAAAGAGATCTTGATCAATTGGGCCAATGGGCTGAGGAGTGGCAGATGGAGTTTAATTTGGATAAATGTGAGGTATTGCATTTTGGTTAAACAAACAAGGGCAGGACTTATATAATTAAAAATTGGGCCTTGGATAGTGCTGTAGAAGAGAGAGACCTAGGGGATCATGTACATAACTCATTGAAGTTTACGTCACATGTAGACAGGGTGGTGAATAAGACATTTAGAATGCTTGCCTTCATTGCTCAGATCTTTGAGTATAGGAGATGGGACGTCATATTGAGGTTGTACAAGACATTGGTTAGGCCTCTTCTGGACTACTGTATCCAGTTCTGCTCGCCCTGTTATAGGAAGGATATTATTAAGCTATAGAGGGTTCAGAATGTTGCAGTGAATGGAGGGTTTGTATTATAAGGACAGACTGGATATGCTGGGACTTTTGTCACTGGAGCGTAGGAGATTGAGGGGTGACCTTATAGAGGTTTATAAAATCATGAGGGGTTTAGATAAGGTGAATGGCAGATGTTTTTGCCTGGGGGTTGGGGATTTCAAGACTAGGGAGCATATTTTTAAGGTGAGAGGAGAAAGATTTTAGAAAGACACGGGGGCAATGATTTTACACAGACAGTGGTTTGTATGTTCCAGACTTCGTAGTCAATTCTCCCTGGAATAAATTATAACATTCTACTAGTTTTCCTAATTACTTGCTGAACTTGCATGCTAACGTTTTGCAATGCATCATGAGGACACTCAGATTGCTCTGTACCTTGGAGCTTTGAAATCTCTCACCATTTAAATCATATGCTTTTTTTCTTCTTCCTATCAAAATGGACAATATCACAATCTCCCACATTATACTCCATTTGCCATATCTTTGTCCACTCACTTAACCTATCAGTAGCTTTCTTTAACCTTCCTGTGTCCTATACACAGTTTACTTTCCTGCATATCTTTTGTATAGTCAGCAATTTTGGCACACATATCTCATGCCACTTCCTCAAATTCCTTCTGGACCAAACCTCATGGAATTACAAAATAATATGATGTATGTATGTTTTGTTGTTGACATTAGTAGGGTGCAAGGCATGAGTGAAATGAATTTCTGTGGTTGATTTTGTTTAGTAAATAATTAGTAAATAATTCCACCATCTTCCCATGACACAATGTATTAGTGCTCATGATTTGTAAGTTTTGGTTTAAATATTAGTATGGCTTGATATTATAAGCAAAGTCATGAACTGGAACAATTTAACTGGAAATATGTACTGGTCAACAGGTAAAGCTGAAGAGCCCATATCTCGTTGAACTTCTAGAGACACAGAGTCATCCAGCATGGAAACAGACCCTTTGGTCCAACCAGTCCATGCCGAACATAATCCCAAGCTAAACTAGTTCCACCTGCCTGCTCCTGGCTCATATCCCTCCAAACCTGTCTTATTCACATACTTATTCAAATGTCTTTTAAATGTTGCAATCATACCCACATTCACTACTTCTTCAGGAGGTTCATTCCACAAGCGAACTACCCTCTATGTAAAAAATTTGCCCCTTAAGTCTTTTTTAAATATCTCTCCTCACACCTTTAAAAGCGTGCCCCCTAGTCTTGAAACTGTCCTAGGGAAAAGACAATTAATATTAACTCTATTTACACCCCTCATTATTTTATAGACTTCTGTAAGGTCACCTCTCAACCTCCTCCTACACTTCAACTAATAAAGGCCCAGCCTATCCAGCTTATCTTCATAACTCAAACCATCCATACCCAGCAATATCCTGGTAAATTTCTTCTGAACCCTCTCCAGCTTAATATTATCCTTCCTATAACTGGGTGACCTGAACTGGACACAAGACTCCAGAAGATACCTCACCAATCTCCTATGCAACCTCCACATGACTTCTCAACTTTTATACTCAAAGGACTGAGTAATGAAGGCAAGCATGCCAATTATCTTGTTAACATTTTTCTGTTGTTCCCTACCTGGCAGTTGGCTAAATGGTTACAAAAACTGCAGGAAAAGCTCAGCAGCTCTGGCAGCGTTGGTGGAGAGAAATCAGAGTTCACGTTTTGGGTCGAGTGACCCTTCCTCAGATTTCTGAAGGGTCACTCGACCCAAAACGTTACCTCTGATTTCACTTCACAGATCCTGCCAGACCTGCTAAGCAATTATCTTGCTGACATTTTTCTGTTGTTCCCTGCCCAGCAGCTTGCTAAATGATTACAAAAGCAGAAATTGCTGGAAAATCTCAGCAGCTCTGGCAGCATCTGTGGAGAGAAATCAGAGTTCACGTTTCGGATTGAGTGACCCTTCCTCAGATTTCTGTTAAGCTTTTCCAGCAATTTCTGTTTCTGATTTATTCATTGTTTTAAATTTAGTGGCTAAGTGGATATTTGGACCGATAAGCAAGAGGAGCTACAAGTGGCAGGAGAAAATATCTTGGAATCCTTGGGAACAAGGACAGCAATTGGGAGGGAGGTGTTCTAATATTGGAAATTTGGAAAGTAGTCTGTGATTGGAAGGTAATCCCCTCTGTTTCCCTTTTATTAATGCAACAGCTCACACTTTGGATTTGTTTAATTTGCCCTGTTTCTAATCACTTGGCCAGTCCATTGATATCTTCCATGTCACAGCTCTCTTACTCACTATCACCTGAAAAGCCAAAGACCTAGTACTAGTGGAACTCCACTGAAATCAGCATTCTAGTCAAAACACACACTCTGACCGTTCACTTCATGCCACTGATCTAACCTTGGATCCAATTTGCCACTATTCCTTTTCTAGACCTTAATGGAATAGATTTGTAGCAAACTGTTTATCCTTTCAGACAAGGAGGTTTAGCACAGAACCTCAGGTGCATGTTTCCAAGGGAGGAGACAGGATTAGGAGCGTCAAACCACAATAGAAGAAAATGTATTTCGATGAACAATGTTGTTTTAAGTACTGTAAGAACTGAGTACTAGCTATAGATAACATACATTTATTAGGATGAATCGTGTTTATAATTTAGAGACATAATGCTGGGAATACTCCACACATTACAGAGTATCGATAGAGAGGGAAACAGTTAACATTTCAAGTTGATGACTTTATATCGGCATAAACATTTAAAGATTTTCCTAAGTTACAGGTATTTGGATAACTCCGCGCAGATACTGAGGGCGGGGGCAGAAAAGCAAAGTACACTCATTTCGGAAGAGGCAAGTTGGTATTTGTCGAGAGTTGTTTTCCTCTGTCCTCAACGTGCAGTAATCACTCCAGAGACTGAAGTGCTCCAACTCTCAGGAAACATTCCCGGCCCCGGATCTTCCGGGACACATCCTATTCCCAGGTCTCCCATGGCACAATCTCATTCTCGGCCCGGATCACTCCCATTTCTGGACATATTCCCACTCACGGCCCCAAAACCCCGTGAAGCATTCCCATTCTCGGCTCTGGATCTTCAGGGAGACATTCTCATTCGCGGTTCCAAGACACCTTCCCATTTTCCGATATCCCGGACACATTCCCATTCTCAGATTCCAGGGACACATTTCCATTTTCATTCGTAAATCTCCAGAGACACATTCCCGGTCCTGGGTCTTCCTAGAGAATTCCCTGCTCCGGATCGCCAGAACACAATCCTTCTCGGATCTCCAGGGAGACATTCACATTCCCGAATTTCCAGGGGCATATTCACATTCCCAACTCGAGACACATTCCCTGATCTCTGGCTATATATTCTCATTCTGAGGAAGGGTCAGTGGTGCCGAAACATTAACTCTAATTTCTTTCCACGTATGCTGCCTGACCTGCCGAGTTTTTCCAGCAACTTCTGTTTGTGTTTCCCATTCTTAGGTTTCTAGGGACACTTTCCTTGTTCCAGACCTCCCGAGGCAATTTCCAGCTCCGGGTCTCTCGAACACATTCCCAGTTCCCCAATGACACATCTCCATATCTTCGGTGACATTTTTATTCACAGCTCCGAATCTCCAGAAAAAAAATTCTATTCCCGGATCTCCTGGAGTTTATTTTCTTTCCCAGCTCCGGATCTCCAAAAATACATTCATATTCCCAGATATCCAAGAGTTATTCTCATTCCCAGATCTGGATCTCCAAGGAAACATTCTTATTCCCAGATATCCAGGAGTTATTCTCATCCCCAGCTGCGGATCTCCAAGGCTACATTCATATTGCCAGGTCCCCAGGAGTTATTCTCATTCCCAGCTCTGGATATCCAAGGACACATTCCTATTCCTAGGTATCCAAGAGTTTATTTTTATTCCCATCTCCAGATCTCCAAGGATACATTGCTATTCCCAGATATCCAGGTATTTATTCTCATTCCCAGCTCTGGATCTCCAAGGATACATTGCTATTCCCAGATATCCAGGAGTTTATTCTCATTCCCATCTCCAGATCTCCAGGGACACGTTCCCCCATTCCCGGCCCTGAAGCTCACGCTCCGGGTTCCTCCCGGTTGCCATGGGGTGGGGCTGTCAATCAGGTGACGTCGCCGTGTTTCCGGTGGGCGGCTTTGTGGTGTCGGGATCAGTGAGTGTGGTTGGGCCGGGCCGGGTCGGGCTGGTTAAGGTTGAGCTGTGACCGGGCCGAGTAGAGACGAGAGGAACCGTTTCTCGGCCATATTCCTCCAGCTCGGGTATACGAGTGGGCTAGCGGCGGTGAGCGGGGCCAGCAGCCGGGTAGGAGCCCGGGATGAGCGCCGCCGGCTCCACACTGACGACAAGACGCGCAGGAGCTTCGGCGAAGCCAGGAAAAACGGGAGATGAACAACGCACTTGAGGAGACGAGCCCTCTCTCTGGGGCTGGGCTTCAGCTCAACTAAAGGCTTAACTTGGATTTTGCAGAGGGAAGGAGAGATCTCTTTCTTTTTCTGTTGGAGTTGGCGGTGGGAGGTGGTCGCCGATAAAGAAGAAAATATTATGACCAGCTGGGCCTGAGCGCAGTATTTTTTTTTTCCCTTTTTGCCTTTTAATTTCAACCGTGAAAATGTCAGTTCCTGCCTTTTTAAATGTGAAATAAATCACTGCTTTGATCTCTTTTGGGTAACTGGACGCTGCTCACCAGCCGCCTTTTGAGGAGGATCATCTTGAGAGTTAAAACAAAACTTGAGAGAATAAAATGTCAGCGAAGGTTCGGCTGAAGAAGTTGGAGCAGTTGCTCCTGAGCGGACCTCAGATGAATGCAAGTTCAATGAGTGTGGAGACTTTGTTGGATATTTTAATATGCCTTTACAACGAATGTAGCAGCTCGCCTATACGACGGGAAAAATACATTGCAGAATTCCTGGAATGGGGTAAGCATATCCTTAAATGATCTTGTCTGTATTGGTATCGTACTTTGAGCTGCGTCCAAATTCAAGAAACAGCTGTTTGTTTACTTCTGTGGAACTGGCTGAGCGACATCTCGCTGATTTTGCTCCTTAAAATCAAAAGATGAACTGTTCCCATGCATGTGTAGGGTTTAATCAAAATTCTAAATGAATAACTCCGATTTTAATGTTTTGTTTGTATGTTTTGAATACAACGTCTCCTAAAAAACCTTTTATTTTTAAGAGGAGACAAAAATAAAAGACAATTTAATGGTTCCACATGTTCAGGCACACATCTTCACTTCTTTCTGAATAGCTTTTCTATAACTGAAAAGGGTTAGGACCAGTTTAGTCCATTGCTGCTGTTGCAGTCTGTTTGCTGACCTTTTATTTACGAGTACTTCATTGTATGCACATGTTTCACGATCCTGTCAGTAAGTGAGCATGTGATTGGAATAAAAGACGTATGTTTCTACAGCTTATAAATTTTATTATGCAACTTATAGATATCTTAGTGATCATGCATAATATGTCTGCAGGGAAGTGGTAATAGTTTATAATTAAATGACCACTCTCATATGCTCACAAGCTAAGAGGACTCAAGTCCCAGTCTATTTTGATGTCATGAATAAGATTCACAGCTGAATGGTGAGCCATTGTATCTGTTGAAGTTCACTTTTAACAAAGCTTAAAAAAGAGGCACATGTTAAAAGGTAACAGATTGGCAGCTTGCACAGTTCCTTTTCTAAGAAGGTATCTACAGTATTATTTGGTATCTAACATCATTGGGTGGTGCTAGCAATATATGGTTGTTTGGAGGCTTATTGCAATCTATGCTGCACTTTTAATGCACACTGTTTTAACATAATTGGACTATTTTCAACGAAGAATTTCTCAACAGTTTTAAATTTCAATAATCAGAAATACACTGATTAGTGTGTGTGCATATGTAAATCAGTTAATTTTTTACTGTGAATGAAACTTTATATTTTAGTCATCATAGGAATGTGATCTCTAAATGAGAAGTCCACAAATTTTCCAGTGTATTTACATGTATTTACAGTATGAGATTTTAATTGAACTTGAAGGTGGCCAAGATTTTGACAGTGACAGCAGTTTTGGTACTTAACGCTTAATTTTTGGACATTTTTCCTTGTACTGTATCTTTTTTCCTATGTTGTTAATTAATCATGCAGATTGTTTCGCTTGTAAGGAACCTTCACTATCTCTTTCAGTCAACCTATTTAGACATGTTATGACACATTCTGGAGCAGGTGGGAGCCCAGGCCTTTGTCCCCTGGGGTAGGGACACAATCACTGCCAAAATAGCCCTCTTTCACCATGTCTTAATTACTTAACTTAAAATATTAATGTTAATGTTAAACATCACAATATTTGTTTATATTGTTTACAACTACAAAATCTACCAAACTCCAAGTTGCACCTTTTTAAAAACTAGACTTTGAGTATTTATACCTTTATAAATAAATCAAAGGAGTATGGACCATCTAAAACACTACTACTTAATAGAATAAGTTTAGTCAAAAAGCAAGTTTAGACAAAAAGCTAGAATGATCTGACCAATCCTATCTGAATACCTTTTACAGGTACTTGTCCAAAATCTTGCAGGGACTGTAGAAAGGGCCTTACCCTTTTATTTATAACTCACTGACAAAACAATGCTGGGACAAGCTTCGTATCCGACTACATGTCTCTTTTTATGGACCTTTCGAAGTCTCTCTTTTGGGGGTTCCTACTTGATTGTGCGCATGAAATACATCGTTGGTCAATTGTTTTATAGGGATGAGAATTTGTAAAGACATAATTATATACAAGAGAAGCAGAAATTGCTGGCAAAACTCAGCAGGTTTGGCAGCGTCTGGAAGAAAACAGTCAACGTTTTGCGTCCAGTGACTGGCAGTCCTGCTGAGTGTTTTACCAGCACTTTCATATCTCCAGCATCTGCAGTTCTTTGTTTTATTTTATGTAACTGTATACACTGATTTATGTGGAGTGAATGTGATTTTTGAATATTTTTTCATTTCATTTGGTATGAAATGTTATAGTATGGACCATGAGTAGTTTTGTAGTGATTGATACAACTGGCTTGCTAAGTCCTTTCAGAGGGCAGCTGAGAGTCAACCACTTTGCTGTGGGACTGGAGTCATACACTTGCCAGACCAGGTGAGGATAGCAGAATTTCTTCCCTGAAGAACATTTAATGAGCCAGATGCATTTTTCTGGCAATTGTAGTCATCTGTAGATTCTTAATCCAGATTTTTTAAAAAATTGAATTTGAATCCCACCATCTGCCCTGGTGGGATTTGAACCCAGGCCCTCAGGATATTAGCCAAATTTCTGGAGCAGTAGCCTAGTGATAACCCCTAGCCACTACTGATGCTCAGTACACAATGCTGCTGTTGTCTGCTAGATGCAGTGCAGAGCTTCACCAAAAACGTTTTAGACAACACCTTCCAAACCTATGAGCACTTTCATCTTAAAGGATAAAGGCAATAAGTACCTGGGAACACCAGCACCTGCAAGTTCTCCTCCAAGCCACCAGTTTGCCAGTGTGTGGGCCAAAGGCGCTACAGGCCACATGGTCAATCTCCACATACCACACTGACTTGGAAATGTATTACTGTTCCTTCAATGTGGCTGGGTCAAATTCCTGGAATTCCCTTCCTAATGGCATTGTGGGTTAACCTACAGTATGTCGAATGCAGCGGTTCAAGAAGGCAGCTCACTACCACCGCCTTGAGGGCAACTATGGAGCGGTAACAAATGCTGGCCAACCAGTGATGGCCTTGTCCCATGAGTGAAAGAAAAAAGGTCGTGTGTTACCCCCCAATATACCATGACTTATTTATCCATTACTCTTTACAATTCAATTAAGATATTCTTAATGTTTACTTGAAGATAAATGTTTTTGAATAAGTTACTAGGTTTAATAAAGGAAATACAATGGATGCACTGTATTTATTTTCAGAATGCATTCAGAAATGTGCTTCTTAAGAGTGTTTGTGCAAGTTGTTTGCACAAGAAATAAAGTAGTGGAATCCCCCCGGGCCTCTCCTGGAGCACTACTGTAACTTCAACGGAAGTACTGTATGCATGTGTTTGTGTGGAATTTCCAACTTGATTGTGTGAATGGGGAGGATGCAAAGAGGTTTACCATTGAAGATTTGTTGACAATGCATTGCTTGCCTAGACGGGGTTTGGAAGTGGTGTACCTTCGTGGACGAACGCTGAGTCCACGTTTTTCTTTTTGAAACACGTAGATGATTTGAACTTTAGTACAGTCTAGCTGCAACATTAAAGTTTACTGAAAACAAAAGCTGGGAGGTTTCATAAACAATGAAGAAGCATTTGAGATACTGGAGCTCTCTTCACTGAAGCAGATCATATGAGATTTTGTGATTATTGTTTTAAAAACACTTAGAGTTTTGTAGAGGCTTTGTACTGTCGTTAACAGTTTCTATGCCTAAAAGCTGATGATCGCCATGATTGTATTGACTGAAGCAGGTTCAAGGTACTGTAAAATGTGCTCCACCTATTTCTTATGCTCTTACGAGTAGCAAATTATCTCCTTGGATAGGGATTTAGCAATGTGTTGTAAATAAATTACAATTATCACTTCAAATAAGGATGGAGTTTAGGAGCAATTTCTTTATGAAGAGATTTACAGTATCAAATGCTCCACCAAGGTAAAACTGGCTGCATATTTGAAGTAGTGGAAGATTGAGCGCTAGTCAATGGGATTAGTTCTGGATAGATCTAATAAAGAGTCACCACAATCATAATGAGCTGTATGGTCTTCTGTACTGTTAATTCCTGTAGTTTTATGTGCAGATTATTTACAGTCAAAGATGAGAGTTTACGGAATTTCTTCTTGGCAAAGAGTCTGTTTCAAATGATAAGTGAATGAAGATCTTTTTATTGCCAACAGTTGCTGTTTAATATCAGTACTATTTACATTGTAGATCACTTAAGTTACACTCTTATACAATGCTAGTGATCTTGATCTTATTTGGAGTGGAATAGTTATTCATCAGTTGTTTATTTTGGTTTTCTTACTAGAACACCAACTGATGAGATTTTGAAATTAAGTAAGGGAGTCATTTATAATTAAAATATTTTTGTGACATTAATGGGGTTTTGTCTGGCTCTCATCTGTTCCATTGTTCTCAATTTTGTGTTGTAATTGTTTCACCCAAAAAAACACAATCTAACTTTTTTTTAAAGAAGTCACAGCAATTCTTGAGTTAAACAGAACTCCCAACAAACATAATTTCAAATTGATCCTTTAATATGACACCCACCAACATAGTTTTGAAATATTAGATGAGAGATATGTGCCTTATATTAGTGATGGTTGAAAATGTGGCTTCAGAATTGATTAGATTATTTATTTGCCATTATTACAAAGTTATGGAAAAATGCAGCTGCTACTTGTTAAAAGGATTTTTAAAAATCTGGTAATATCAGAACTGCAAACATTGTGAAATGGTATATAAATTTATGTAAAATAGCCTTGGAATTGGACATATTGGAGAGGAGGTGTATCATGTTTAATGCAAATGTTTGTATTTTTAAGGATATTTAAAATAGGATCTGATATTGAGACTTGTTTACTTTTGATTTTCTTTGAGCACCTTTTATATGTGCATGCATGTCTGCAGTGCATTTGCTATCCCAATTTTCAAATTTGTTTTTGTAATACAGATCACCTAAGTTGGTAAATCTGTACCTGAGTGTGTACATAGTGAATGAGACTTCTGTCATACTCTACTGGAGTAGATCCCTTTACTGTCTGTTTCCAGCTCAAAAATGAGCACAATGAGGTTCCTTTACCCTAAGTATAGATATGTTCATGTTTTTATTTCTTTATCTCTCTCAAGGAATATTTAAGGAATTGCATCACAGCACGATTGGGACTTGAAGAAGACATGAGATGGTGGCAAACAAAACACAGTTGTTAAATG